TCAACTTATTTGTTTACAAAAAACTCCAGTTTTCTAAAAAACTAATCTAGGTTTTTCGAAAAAACTGTCTAAAAAAATTAATTTTTTTTTTCAAAAATCCGGCTTTGTTAGGTTCTAGGGGTAGGTATTCTGTACATTTTGACACTATCCCGAGGTCCATATCATTAAAATTGGAAACAAAGTCTTTGACACACGGACACCTACTTTTTGATCCTTGATATTACAATAACTCGCGAAAAACTCAATATTATGAGCTCAAATTTATACTGAGAACTATCAATGGTCAGATACATATTCNCAACCAGAGCCCTCCCCCCCCCCACAACACGCCCCCCCCCCCCCCACCCCAACCCCCCCCCCCCCGCCGGCCTTAAATTTATAAAATGATTCGATATCAAATCCAGATTACTCATTAAAAACTCTATTATTGTTAACTAACACAATTCCTAAAGATAATTACTATGTTATCTATCGTTTAGTTGTCAAATACGTTGATGCAACTTTAAGACTTGCTATTGATAGATAAATGCTATGTCAATCTCCCTTACTCTCTCTCTCTCTCTCTCTCTCTCTCACACACACACACACACACACACACACACACACCTTTCTTTTTTCTTTTGCATGATTAAGATTTTATTATTCCTATTTATATATTGCAGCATCAAAGGCATATTTATTTATATTATTTTTGTGCTAGTTTGTGGTAATCAAGAAGAAGGTACAATGACTTTATCGATTCCATCTTCAAGATTACATGTTCTCGAATATGTTTTTTTACTTTTTTTATTTTATTTAAAATGAATAAAGTTTAAATTAAATTAAACTAAACTAAGTAAAATAAAAAAGATAGAAAGAAAATGATCGATAAGTGATTATACTGTAGATGACGTTTAGAAAACTCAGAAAATTTCTTTTAATTGGCTTGTTTAAGAAAAAATTCCATAGGTTAAATTAGGCTACTCTAGGTTATCTTACGAAGAAAAATGTATAGACCAGATTAGGTTTAGATTGTGACAGTTTTATAGATTAGGCTATAGGTTGCCAGAAATCTGTATCCTGCGATATTCTAACCATTGATAGCCTGTGAAGCCAATATTAAATGTACGTTATCATTGACCTGAATAGTAGTTAGATATATCTCGATATGTAGGATGTCAGAATACTTACGAATGAGGTATTTTCTTGTTGCTGCATCATTTTATATCGATTACTAAGTCTAAACTGATGATTACCGGATGAAGTAGTTGAATTTATTTAATAGGTGAACATTGTTTAATTATTCAACCATAACTTGATCATAAATGTAAACCTATTTTCTATGCATCAATACTTATTCAATTAGTCAGCTGGTTTTATAAGTCAAAATAAGAGCATTTTTTTGCGTAGATATGAGTCAATTGTCATAGTTTCAAATATGAATGGTTGACTTTTTTTCTCTCTCGAAATTATATCTGACTATCGCTTTGCTCCATTTTAATGACAGTTTGAGCCACCATGCGTTACAGCATCGTTAACTGTTTCAGGGTCTACAGAAACATTTGTATATCTAGCCAAATAAGCTTTTAAATACGTTTCTGCATGGTAATTTGTCTCTAAGCAGAGTGGAAATGAATACCATCTCAACATATAATACTTCATTAAATCAATAGGACCTATGGCCCATCCATCATCATAACCCAAAAAAAATCGATTTGCCGGTACTAGTATCGTGTGATTCATATCATATGGTGGAGGTCGTTCGAACGTACTTGGAACTTTCTTGAACTGAAGATCAACTCTAGATCGAACGAGTAATTGATATTCAACAAGCATTTTCTGCTCATACTCTCGAATCAATTCATAACATTTAGACAAAGCCCAAAGTTGTTGAAAATATCGTGGAATCTTGAATCCAGGTAGATGATAGTCGACTTTACAATGAGACGGAAACCCTGGATCTAGCGATCGGTCTTCATATAATATCTTCACAGTTGCATTGTATAATCGAGCCTCTTTTAATCGAATGTCGAGAGAAACGGTTTCTGGCTGATCCACTGTTGTACTAGATGATAAAAAGAGAAATAAATCAATTTGTCCGTTTAGTCGTTTTCTTATCTCGCTTTCTGTTACTTTCCATGAATCATTAACACATTCAGACACACCACTTACACACATAGCAACACGCGTTTGATTTTTAACACGGTTAAGCGATTTTTTCTCCAACGGCGGAGGCTTATATCCGATACGTTGGATATCCTCTAGCCAGGCATTCATTATTTCAACTTCTTTCGAGCTCCAAAAGCCAGCTCTTGCAATATCCGATGACAGCTGAATTATTCTTTTGACTAAAGTGTCTGCAGTTGAATTCCACGAAATGAGAAAACGTACAAATTTCCCGCCTTGCTGATATATTTGTTGTTCATCATTCATATCCTTGATAAGGTTATGAGGATTTCTCTTTTGTTCGACTGTACTCGTTCCGAACACAAGATGGCCACCAATATCCCATAGCATACGCTGTACCCAGAAACCGCGCCAGATATCACAAACACGAAATGTTGTGGTGATGGGTAAGTACAAACCCCAAAATGCTTCGTAATAGGTGACGGTATTTTGGGTATTATATGGAGAGAATGTAAACGGTTCAAGAGCAACCGGTGGTTGTTCATGATCAAAGTAAATGTGTCCGACGGACATTGGATGTGTTAGACGATAGAGAGCATCTACATCAGGATCCAGATCAACTAAATATTGTTGAATATAAGCATTAACTTGTTCATCACTTCTTCTCATTCTTAATGAATACCAACCGTCCTCTGTAACATTTTTCAACTCGTCAATGGGAAATCCACGAGGCCAGACTTTTTGTTGACCGAATATGCCGTATATATTGACGAATGGTGATCGCTGACGATGAAACGCGAACCAGGGTACCTCTAACGGTGAACTTTGTTTTGCTAGGACTTTGATATCGTTTGTCTGAAGTAGATTATCGTCGTCCGACTCAAAGATTACTTGTGCACCACATTCGATTGCAGCAAGATAACCAATATTTTTTCGAGCATAGGATCCTTCTGGTATATATCTGATAATACGGTAATCGAGTTTTAGTTGATCATGGATACTTAGAAAAATGATTTTTGAATGATTCATGTTTGTGATGTTTAATAGCCAATCTTTTGGCGTTTTTCGATCGCCAATAATCATTAGTTTCCAATCTGATGATAACGATAGAAATTTACGAATAGCTGGTGTCGGATAAAATATTGTTGTTATAACAATCCATTTATCGCCACGAGTTGAACAATGAGTCGATAGTCTAGCTGATGTTAAAGACGAATTAACCAACTTTACAAAGGATACTTTTGAGTATTTGGTAATTTTTCCATAATAAATGATGTACGAACAAAATGTTGCTAGCAGAAGAAAACAGCATAAACCTACTGGTAGTGAAAATTTCTCTGATAATGACATCAAAGAGTTTCTAAATAATTCAGCTATTCTCTCAAATTAAAAGTTGTAAATTTATTTTAACCACACATACGACTTTTGTTATACAAACAGTTAAAATTCTCTGGTGTGGGTATCTACGTATACTTTTCTTTTTCATCTCATCAAAAAAATGATTCAGTTCTCTTTCTTACTGTCTACAACAAGAATATCTAACTTCATTCTACTAAAAATTCATTTTTTTTTTGACGAACTTTTTATCGACAATGCTCCTGCAAAGTTAAATGAAAATTCTAGAAAACAGCAGGAAGTTGAATGAAGTTCAACAGTAAAAAAATTAAACACTAAATGAAGTTCTCATAAATTTTTGTTTCATTCTCTTCTTTGAAAACTCGATTATTAAACATTATTATTCATTCCGTTCTCTAAGCGAAGCCGTCAAAATTCGCATCGGTGAATATTTTCACCGGTAACAGGATTGGACAGAAAATGGAGAACAGTAAGTATTATTCAATATGCCTGAAAAAAAAGAATATGGAACTATCGTATAACAGAAAGAACATGTAGTATATATTCTTTTCTGTATACTTGACTTGATGTGTTCTTTTTCTTTCTATGCACACTATACAGACGCAGATATAAAGCAAGAAATGGAGAAAAGAATAAATTTTATTGTTTTATCCAAAACAAAGATTTCTTTCACTATGAAATTAGTGTTTATTCTGGTAACTTCCCAGATTAAAAGGTTAACAAATTTGAAGGTATCCTTCTCCAGTTTTTCTGCCAGTTTGTAGTACACAACTTGTACTCTATGCCAACCAATTTTTTGGAAAAAGGTCTCTTTTATTTTTTAAGTTATAGAGATCTCAATATCACAGACTAAAGTTAGTAAAATGTATGGATTTCACTTTAATTTTAGAAATTGCACGAATTTGGAATGGCAAACATAACTTTCTTGATCACTTTCGGAACATCATAGTCAGAGACGCCCAAGTTCTATATTTATTTTTTCCAGTAAAATCACTACAATTAGATTAAAACGGATCCACTTTACTAACTTTTATCTTTGATATTGACAGATCTATTTCTTAAAAACTAAAAGAACCTCCTTCTGGAAAATATGGGAAATATATTACAATTTGTGTACTTCAAATTAGTGCAAGAAGTGAAAAGGAGTCCTCTTTAATTAATTATTCCACTTTTTAAATTAGCGAAGTGAGGAGAATACAGAATTCATTTAGAGCATAATTTAGTACATTAGTACATTCGATTAATTTAGTACATTCGATAATTCAGTCTTTCCCTTACTTTGTTTGTGAAAGAGAAAACGTTTTGTGTGCTCACATACGAAAAAAGAATTAAGAATTGAATGATCAAAGAGAATAAAAAAAAATGGCTGTTTTCCTGTGAGAATTATTTATAGCCAAATAGATAAAAATGTATACAGATGATGTAAAATATATAAATTACAAAACATTATATGCAGAATATGTACCAAGGGGGTAAAACCTCACTTTAAGCGTGTGCACCTCAAAGTTAAGTGTCACTTTAAGTGTCGAAGCTCTGAAGTATCACTTAAGTGATTAAACGTCATTTCAAATTTCGCATCTCCCTGGAAAGTCAAGAATTCAACTCTATATTTCCGAAATATACAATGTATGGACTACGACTGTTCCGCGTCATGCGAATCTATTTGTTTTCATCATTTTAATGAACAAAGTTAGAAAGCACCTACAAATGTCAATAAAAAATCCAAAACTATTTCTAGACCGTAACTATTTTTTTCATTATAGAACAGCCGGTTAGTGACAAGACTATAATTATTTTTCTCTTTCTTTTTACTGTTGTTGTTTTACTATGTATAGACGGGCGATGGGTTTAGCACAGTCTTTCTCTTTCTCTATTACTAATCGTTCGTCCAGTTATGGATGCTGTTCACTCGAAATAACGTCATCGAGTAAAGCCTCTGGCTTATTCTTTCCTCTGTTTTCTATCTTTTCTTTTTATACATAATTCTGATAATTTTACTTGAGAAGAATAAAATGGACAGGTATTTAAAAGAGAACGGAATTTGTATATAACCGGAGAACGGTTCGGTATTGAATTAAAATTTGAAATTAAAAGAGGACGGAAATAAGAAATGAGAACGGTTTTTAATTTTAGCCAAAAACGACTGAAAAGAGAAAGATCATGTAATTACAAGAGAGAACCGAATGTAAATCTACTTTTAAATTACTTTATTGACTTCTAGTAGAGATGAACATCAAAAATTCTCTTATATATGTACAGTAAAACGTCTTTATTATCTTATTGTACACGCCAGCTTCTCAAATCTTCTAATGAAAATGAAGCTGGACATTTGCGTCGAACCAAACTTCGAACCTGTTTTGGAGTTGTTGCTTGAGGATAATCGATTGTTACTGCACGACGTATTAGAGTCTCAGAAAGACCGGCTGCTACATAAGTTTTTACGTTACCTCGAATAGGAGATGATATATGTGTTATTGATGCTCTATTACTATGATTATGCTCACCACACTTCAAGATTTCAAATCTTTCATTGTTGCCCATGCTGATTTGATAGACATTTTATGAAATATCTTAAGAAACAATCTCGACTTGCACCGACAAGCCGTATATATTCATCCAGAAACAGACGTTCCATCATTGCACAATCTGTCCTCTCTGCATGTTTATGTTCTAAATTTTTCAAACATGAACAGTCCACCGTTCTCTTTTAAACTCAATTAAAAACCGTTCTCTTTTCAATGCCGTTCTCAAAAAAATAATTTTCTGTTCTCCATTCTATGAAAATTCCTTCTCTTTTAACATTTAATCCGTATAAAATATTTGAAACAAAATCGAACGTTTAAAGTTAAACAGGGCAATTATCAAGGAAGAATATTAGTCAGGCATTGGCCTAACAGCCGCGGCCTAATAGGTCTACCACATGCAGGAAAGACTTAAAAGGTGCGATATATTGTTGATCACGCCGAAAGTAGTCCAGCAGAACACTGATCCTTTAAAGTTTTTGAGATGGTTTCTGGAAAACCTTAAACCAATGTCCGGCTGAAATTCACTTTTTTTGTCTTGGATTCTGCTTTATGAGCTGTTCTGAGCGTTTCCTGAAAATTTCCTTGAGTCAGCATGAGATTTCATTGAGGTATAAGGATTTTAATTTTTGTTAGTAACAGGCGAAAAACCGTTTTTTCAAATCGATTTATTTTATCCGCTTATTCTGATTCTGTACGGAAAATCAATAAAAACTATTCTTTTAGTTCCGTAGGTTTCTAGAAACGAAAGTATTTTCTGTCGGTTTTTTCAACATTTTTGGAGCTTTACGGTATGCGCTAGATAAACTATAGTATTGCTGACATTCTGAAGTTGGTTGGATGGATATTGACTGAGTTATGAACTTTTTAACTTTTAATGAGAGTAATCAAGAATGGGATATATCACCTATTATAGGTTTTCACTCCGTTGTTGCATTTTTTTCTGAAAACTAACGTTCCCACGAGATTCATCATAGTCGATAACCTATGTTTTCATTAATTTCTGACAGTCCCAAACCTAACGCCAGAGAAGTGTGAAGGTTTCAGAGAAAACGTCCATAGCTCTCAAACCATTGGTTTTCAAGATATCACTCAGATCCAATTTTGTAGAGGACACTTCAGAAACTTCTCTATCTTACCTTACCTTACCTAATCTTAACTTCTCACCACTACCTTACCTTATCTTAACTTCTCTACATTACCTTACCTTATCTGCGTTATCCTAGTTTACCATACACTGGGAATTGTCACAGAAGTTTTAAATTATCCAGTTTTTCTGACTTCTCAGAGGGAGTATTTTCTCCACTACGCTGCAAATAGAAAAAAAAGCCAGAGAATGAAGGAATTGTCTCAGTTCTGTCCACAGTTCCTAGTGGGTACGTGGAAGGAACCTACCATCAGTTCCCCGAAGAACTGTGGGGATTGAGGTGATACAGAGAGTATAGTAAGAAATATCTCCTGGAAAAAGAAAAAAATGCCGATTGGTTCCTTCTAGGTACCCGCAGGAGCTGAGAAACTGCTTAGAATATAGTTCCTCCGGTCAGTCTTGGTGGCTTTTCAGAAACGCTAGTACGTGATTAGTGAGTTTGAATCAATTGCTCAAGTACTTGGGTGAAAGAACCGTGCATCAGGCTAGCTTTCTGAGCAGAGCTGCCATGTGAGAATTCCTCACAGTATAATGCTTGCGATTATTTGATCTTAACTAATACGAAGCATTGATCAATGAGAGGGTAATATGCTCTTTGAGATACGCTGGTGCGTAACTATGTATAATACAAAACAAGATTATTGATCTCGTTTGTAAAAAGTATGTTCGAATGAGTAGCCAATGAAGATCGTTTAGAATGAGTGTTGTAATATTCCACTTATTGCTCCAGTTACTAATCTTGCAACATGTTTTTGAATATGGTCAAGTTTCAGAAGGTTGTGATTGGTTAGTAATGAGTAGATGATTCAACGTTGAGAGAATGAACGGTTTATATATTATTGTAATGATCATCTATTCAATAGCTATTTGCACAATGTCATTCCGATTAAAGAATTGTTTTTTGCAACGAAGTGATCAGTGCATTTGGTCAATTTTATATCGTACAAAATGTTACTACAACATGACTCTATTCATCAGTTACACCAAGTAACGTAATTCAAATTGATCCGGAATAAACCAATCTTTTCGTTTTTTGTAAACAATACAGATTTCCACTTCTTGATATTGAAGACCGATGGCCATGTGTAAGACAAATCCGCTTTTCAAGGAAAGAACCAATGATACTTTTTGTCGGCCCATTTATATTTAACTAGGGGTCATCATTCTTGAACGAGGAGTTAACTTGTGATTATTTCGTATTATAAAGCTTTCTCTTTACATCTGCACATGCATTCTCAAACGTAGATGCTATATCCAGATACTTTTTGGTAGTGAATTTGTTGAGTTATTGTTTTAAGTTGAAAATTCTTATACTTTTTCAACAG